CCGCATAAACACATTTCATTACACCAAATACACAAAATAATGTTCTTTGTAGCAGCATCATATGACCCCTTTAAAACAAGGAAAAAATGAGGTAGGAAAAATAAACTTAATTTAAAGGAAAACACAATAATTTTTCTTTTTGTTTTAACCATAAACTCACAAAATTTTGACTCTTTTTTGTTTGTTTTTGAAAAACAAGACTTCATATCTTAAGTCATTTTGCTTCTCAAGTAAATCCTGATGTATTTTTTTTTAGATATTTGTACTGGAAATTAAGACAAAAATATTACATAAGAAAACAATTTTGTGGTCACCAGTTTCATTGTATGGAAATGATCAGCTTAGAAAAATCATGATTTTTGCATATTTTTTGCAACATGTGGTCGAGTAAATGATGAGTGAGTAGTGCTTTTTTGCTGAACTACAGCTTCAACTCAAAACCACACGTGGTAAAACGGCCGGTTCTCAAATCAGTGTAGTTTCCATAATGAGTCACTTGCAAACACAATAACGAAATGAAACAATGTACACCAATGCATGTCTGATTTCCTATTCTTTCTTCCCATCAGGATGAAGAGTTAGGGCGTGATGAATGCGCTCTTAAAGCAGCTATGTACATCTACACATCTTATCATTAGCTCGCCCGAGGGCCACCACGCTCACAAGCGCCAATCAAACGCAATACAGTCCAGCCACGACTCCTGCTTTCACTCACTAAAAGCATTTCAAGAATCAAAAAAGTCAATAACTGCAACCTGAACATTTGCCCTCAGCTGGTTACCTGCTTTTAAACACCGTTTGTAGTAATCGGAGGTTTTTGTTTGGCAGAGAAAAGAAAACGTAGCACAGCTTATGGACAAAAAAGAGCTGATTTTTGAAAGCTTTCTGAGAGTTGAGTTTAAACGCAGCTCATTTTGTTTATGCATGGAGCCAAAAATACTGCAAATATGTCCTGGTCATTTCTTTGGTCACCTCTGCTTTCTCTCTGCAAAAATGTCAACAATTCTGTGTTTTTCTGTCAATATGGGGTGCTGTGTGTACATTAATGAGGAAAAAAAATTAACTTAAATGATTTTAGCAAATGGCTGCAATATAACAAAGAGTGTAAAATTGAAGGGGGTCTGAATACTTTCCGTACCCACTGTACATATACATATATCATTTATGGTATTTAAAATGTATAATTGCAGAAATTGTATATGTTAACGTTTACTGTAAAAAGATATTAATTAGTGTACGTGTTAGAGTACAAAAAGTTATAAATATTTTAAAACATAATATCTTAAATACCTTTTTTGCTATGGTTTTTTTTTTTTTTTTGGCTTCGGAAAATTGTATTATGACCAAACTGCATAATAATACATTCAAATTACTAATTAAATTTTTACATGCAAATTACTAATTAATTTATAGTATTGAGTATTATTTTTGAGTTTTATAGAAGTATTTATTTGAAATATACATGTACTTACTTAGATTTGTACAGTTTTATATTTTAATCATTATTCCTCCTTTTATCCTCATTTCTTTTCATTTATAACCAGTATTATACATACCACATTATATGGTATTTAATGTTTAGAGTTATGGAAATTGTATATGTTAATGTTTACTGGGAAAAAAAGAGACTTCAGCAGCAATTTTTGCTGTATTTTGAGGACATAAAATAATTGGTCTTAACTGTATACTAAAATAATACCTTTAAAAAAAAAAAATTTTAAGCAAAATTCTAAATGCATACTGTACCTTCAGGTAAAAGTTATTATACAAACAAACATACGAGTAAGTATCTATACCATCTGTATCGGTGGAAAAATGTAAATGAACTAAACGTCATAAAAAAAAAAACACTCGGTTCCAGTGCTTCTGTGCAACAAGTGGAACTTGTTCTGAATAAAAACTGGTTCCTAGTTCTCAAGTGAGCTAAAAAAAAAACATTCACAGACATGCAAACAGTATAGTGGTATTTCTAGTAGCACAAGGTACTTACAAAGAACAGATTATATGTGTTTACCTTGACGCAGATAAGCACGGTGACAAAGAAGATGGAGATGGAGAGGAAGAGGAGAAACATGAGGAACCAGGCGCTCCAGTGCAACCAGTTGCTGAGACCCATCATGCGCATGTACTCCTGCAACACACACACACACACACACACACACACGGCTGCAGTGAAGCTTTCTTACATCAAGAGCAACAGAATCCACGTTCATGCCCATTTCCTGTACCTTCAGTTTCCTCTCCTTCTCCTGTACTACAGCTCGGATGATGTTCAGAGACGTGTAGGTGAAGCTGAGCACCAGCAGCAGCGGCAGCTGGTTCTGGATGGCCAGGATGAAGACGTCGTACATGAATGCTGGGTAAGGGAAACGAGCCAGCAGCACTTGGGCTGTCTTGAGGAGGGCCGCCGCCGCCGTGCTGTTGTAGGCCTTCATGATGGCCCGGTCCACCGCATGCTGCACCTGCAGGAAGCCCTCGCGGTGATATCCTGTCCAGACATACACAGTATTCATTAGATTCCACTCAATCAAACTTATGAGCGGTTAACGGAATCAAATGAACTGAGGATTTTTTCTATTGAAAAAATATTCTGGGTTCTGTATACAATACAATACAAGCTGAATTGACAGCATTTGTGGTTTAATGTTGGATACTGCAAATATTCATTTCCACTTATCCTGCTTTTTCTTTAAAAAACAAAGGTCTGTCTGAATGAGGCCATTTGTAACCATTAAGATCTCACTGTTTCAATAAAGCCAATACAATGTGTGGTGTAACATGATTTTAATGTGTATTAATCTTTTGTGTGTCTGAAGTTATATTCGGTTTTAAAAGTTTAACGCTACAAACTGACATAAACAATGAAACCTTAAAAATGATTTAAACCAATTTGTAACTCAATAGTAAGTTTTAACAAAAATATGAATGCAAATGCTTTTATAAAATTATAAACTTTTAATTTTTGCTTTTAAATCCTCAAAAATGAACTGTAAAATTCATGATTTAAAAAAAACAAACATTTTTTAGCAGAAGAATAAATGTAAATGCTTTTATAAAATTATAAGCTTCGCATTGCTTCAAACTGACCCCATTCACTTCCATTGTAAATGTCTCACTGTAACCTTGATCTTTGGTCCTTTTTTCCATTTAAAATAATATAAATGCATACTAACATACACATACTAACCATTTTATGTGTGAAGTTATATCTAATTTTACAGTGTTGCAATGACAATGCAATGTCAAATAATAAAACCCTAATTATTTTTTTTTTAAATCAGCATTTATAGCTTTCAATTAAAAAATACACATATTTTACCAGAAGAATGAATGTAAATGCTTTTATAATATTATAAGCTAAATGCCTCACTGTACTCTGGATCTTTGATCATTACAGACCAAAAATCATTAAGTTTATGATTTTTTTCAAATGTGTTAGTACATCAGAATGGTATGAAACTTGGTGACTTTTGTCGTACTTGCCATGTGAACAAAACAAAAAAATGGTCTTTAAAAAATAGCCCCACTTCTTAGCTGTCAAAAATGACCACCATAGGAAATTAATGGCCAATATGAAAAATACTTTGGGGTACAATCTACAAATCGCACAGCAGTGAAGGGGTTAAACTTTAAAACACCTGTAATATTTCTTTTGAGCTTCAGGAAGTTACTATTTCACAAAACTTAAACATTCATTGAGAATTCCTCGCCGCTTCTCATGGCTTTTCAAACCATAATGACCCTTGAAGATCAAAACCCTCTTCGCACTTGCAGTATAAAGCAACTCAACGCAATTAAATGCAGATGAAAGAACGACGATGAAGCAGGAAGAGTCGTGCAAGCAAATATCAAGATGTCATTTGTAGCACCGTGACAAAAATAGAGGATAACTGTCATCAAAGTTCAGACCTGATGCTAACGCAGCGCTCATGATTAATAACAGACACTCTGCAGGTGCAGGTGTTTTGAAGCTGCTGGCAGCACTGGAGGCCATCAGACGAAGGAACGCTAACTAATCCAAATCACTTCCTAATCAACAGCTAGCGCCGTCACGGGAAACCTCATGTACAGGAAGAGATCATTAAAGTTTATCTCATCTGCTGATGGTAACTGACAGCAAAAGGTCATCAAGGAAGAAATCGACCACTAATTTGCATGTTGATGGACGAGTTTTGATTAAAGAGCTTTTTAATGAACTGACACTAGCACTTAAAATTGTAGTTTTGTGGCTATTAGCTTTAACATCATCTATATTTTAATGCATAAAAATTAAACATTAAGCACATATGAATTAGCAGACTTAATCTTGGGGAAAGTAGCATTACATGACTTGCTCAGCAATAGATCCTCTGCAGTGAATGGGTGCCGTCAGAATGAGAGTCCAAACAGCTGATAAAAACACCACAATAATCCACACCACTCCAGTCCATCAGTTAATGTCTTGTGAAGAGAAAAGCTGTGTCCATCAAATCCATCATTAACTCTTACCCCGCCAGCATTTTTGAAAAAAGTTGCCAGCCACCGCCAGCAATTTTGATGATTTTCACTAAAATTTGATGGCCTCCAGTATATTTTGCTGTATGAATATTTGAATATGCTTAAAGCATTCTTTATTTATCAACACTTGAATATAGGTAGGTTTCGTAAAAAATGCATAATTTTGAGCAAAAAGGTGAGAAAATCACATTTTTATCAAAAACTACATCTGGATAATATTCAGTACGATTATCAAAGCATAAATCCAGTAAATCGCTTCCATCAACAGTAACATTATGCAGTTTTCATTTATATGCTGTCTATTGCTGATGATGGCATTATTTTTCATATGCATCTGTTTACATAAGAGATCGCTCGTTTCTCCGTCCTGTTCACGTGTGTTTTTGTTTGGGAGGTTTTGTACTCGTTCAGAAGATATGCGTCGAGTGTATAACAGTGAAAACACGAAAAGCCGTAAAAACTCGTCTTTGGCGGGGAAGCGTTTTCTTGTAAGAGACGAGATAACTCGTCAATGGCGGGGAAAGAGTTAAGACAACTTCAAACTTCAAACCATTTCAAATGGCTAAAATATGAGTCTCTACCCATAATATTGCTTCCTCCAGTGAAAAAAAATTGTCTGGTCTGAATCAGGAGAGAAATATGCACAGATCAAGCACCATATACAAACAGTCCAAAACAGTTCTAAACAAATATGTGGGTGGAGTTTGATGCGAGACAACAACAGGAGATGGACTTTTTCACTGGAGGAAGCGTTATGGATTGACTCATATTTTGGCGATAAGTGATGGTTTAAAGTTAAACGTCCTGATGAATTCGCTTCACAAGACATTAACTGATGGACTGGAGTGGTGTGGATTACTTGTGGATTATTGTGATGTTTTTATCAGCTGTTTGGACTCTCATTCTGATGGCACCCATTCACTGCAGAGGATCCATTGGTGAACAAGTGATGAAATGCTAAATTTATCCAAATCTGATGACGAAACAAACTGATTTACATCTTGGATGGCCGGAGGACGAGTAAATTCTCATCAAATTTTCATTTTTGGTTGAACTACTCCTTTAACTTGAAATTCATGGCTTGTAGGTTGCTTCTGCTGGGTTAATTTCCCACAATGCATCAGTGTGGACTGACCTGGTGTGCCCCCGTGTGGCTCGTGTTGTTCTCTGGGCCCGGGCAGCTGGAACAGCGGGAACAGACTGAGCGTGTGCCAGTCCAGATCATTGTTGGGGTTGAGCTCAGACTTCTCACGCACCGGAGCGTTTCTGGGGCTGTACGTGAAGCGCAGATGATAGCTGACCTGCCACACATGACATCAAAGGTTGTTTGTTTGATGTGACTTAACATTTCATGTATTAGAGGGTCAAACCCCAAAGTAACATGCGTCTAGATTAATGGCACAATAAACATTGAATAACTCTTGTGGGGGTTTGAACCTACAACCTTACGGTTACCACACCAGATAATAATGAATATTGTTCAATATACCTTAGAGCACACGTGATATTTCATCAATTTAATTAACTTTGAGAATAACTTGAGATTAAAAAAAAAATAAAATTTTTTTTTTTTTTTAAAGCCCCAGGCTTGTTGTGCTTGTTTGTATAGGGCTGCATAATTTGGCCCAAAATTGTGATTATATATCAATATAACTATATAATAATAATAATAATAATACATAATTATAATAATCATTAAATATAACAATTATAATTAAAATATTACAGAAACAAATTTCACTGTAAAATAAAAAAAAGTGTTAAATAATATTTAAAAAAAATTTAAAATAAATAAGAAATATTTATTTTGTAATTTTTCACTGCAAAATAAAGAAATTGAGTATTTAATAATAATAATAATAATAATAATAGCCTTGTTTTGTGAAATTTTAATCTGACAAAATAAATCAGTCTTCTGACAAAAATATCATTTTGGGCCTCATTTGAGACATGAGGAAAACAAATTTCTGTGTAAATCATTCATAAAACCATTCTAAAGTTAATTGTTTAAAAAATAAATAAATAAATAAAACACACATTTTACATAGAATAGAAATGTGCTCTCTTCCTGGATGCTGATCCAGGACCTGCACTGGAGCTGCAGTAAACTCATTAAATCCTCAGTGAAGGACTCGCTGTCTGTGACCGAGGACCGAGAGCTTTCATCGTGAGAGATGAGAAGAAAGCAGACCAGACCTCATCTCTCCATTAGGCAGCTGAGAAACCTCAGCAAGCGCATCTCAAAACGCCTGAAACGGCTTCAGCGCTTCATAAACACACGAGCAGGCGCCGGAGACATGAAACCAATATGCTTTGAGGGTATTTGTTGCTAGTGCACTAATGGCCTGATTCCTCCTGCTAGATTCGACTGCACTCGACGTCTGTGGAAAACAGCTTATTTTGTCCTCAAATGTTCAGAAAAGAACATTTCCTTCGGGAACACTCGCTTTAAGTAACGGTTATCATCATGAAAGACAAGTAAATAGGCGAGTCTCACTAAAATTGACAAGACTGCACTTTATTTCACACAAAATCTAAAGAAAATGGAGGAAGTGATTTTAATCCCTAAAATCCCTGCCGGTACGGAGACTCGACCCACGACCTTTGGGTTACAAGTCCGACTCTCTAACCATTAGGCCATGACTGCCCCATTTTCATTACTGTATCAATATTACTATTAGTAAATAGCATGGAATTTATTCCATTTGAGAGGGAAATGTGTTTAATATCAAGCAAATTCATACAAATATTGTTACAATGCAAAAATAGCTTATTTTCTTTATGCAAAACATAATTTAAATATAATAATAATATCATATATTTAATTTATAATTAAAATACCATTTTAAATAATAATAATAATTGAATTTTATATTGTTTTATTTAATAATGCTTTTTTTCTTTCAGTTGATGCTGGAGTGAAATACATAAACATTACTTCACAAAACTCATCTACACAACGATTCAAACTGTTCAGTATGCAGTTGATCAGGTTGATCTTGGCTAACAGGAGGAGGTAAACAGGAAGAGGGTGATTGGGAATGCTAATTCGTTAAGGCACAGGTCTGTCCGGTCCATGGCGTCTCACCTGCAGAGGAAGCGGCTCGTCATCGTGTGTGAACTGGTGCTCAAACACAATGGCTGCCAAGATCTTGCCTGACTGTGGGTCAGTTTTCACAAACTCCTCAAACTGCTCCTCTGTTTCAAAGCCACGCACTGGAAAACAAGATCAAGACACAGCATTAGTGCCACAGCCGTCTTTATTACTGTTACTATAGCTTTCATTTATAATAAATAAAACGTATATTAAGCAACGCTTTCATTTTCTTTATGCAAAATATAATTTAAATTTTAATAGAAAAATTTTACATTAGTTAATTAGTAATAATTATAATAACTGAATTTAAATAATAATAATTTAAAATGCTAAATACAAATAAATCACTTATTTTCTTTATGCAAATTAAATTTTAATATCATAATTGTATTAGTTAATTATATTAGTATTGTATTAGGCTACGTTCATACTGTCAGTTTTTGGGATTGACAACCGCATTTTCTTTACAGGTTTGAGTCTCGAAATGTCCCGTTCACACAGCAGCTTACAGTTGTGTTTAGAATGCTGTCTGTTGCTGCGTCCCAATTCGCATACTATCCGTCCCAAATAGTATTCGAAAATAGAATTAGTATGTCCCAAATCATAGTAAGTTTTAAAAAAGTATGCCAAAGATTCCCGGATGGTCTACTACTTCCGGTTAGAATTCGAAGTGCAGATCGATGCACACTCTAACGGCTAATATTGCCCACAACACATTGTGCAGTGGACGAGGATTCAATTAGAACTACAAACATGCATTAAAAGTGTTAAAAAACTACCAACATGGCGGATATACGCGACCAACGGACAGGTAGATAAATGGATTTGAGTGATAAATAATCAATGTCTAACCTGATGAAAAAATATAAATGTAATGTTATCCACATTATATTTCATCTGCAGCAACACTGTGAACTTTTATAATGATACGTTTGGTCATTAACTTTTAAATGCATCATTATGCAAACGCATGAGCAGAGTTCTGGGTATGATAGACCTGCGACTAGCAGATCAACGTACCTCTTAATTTCTCTCCAATATGGTAGGAAATCAAATTAAACGAAATGTGGATGATGTTAACTGTGATAAGATGATTGACAGGGCAGTTTAAACAGTGACAGAATGCACATAACTAAGCAACAGAGCGTCCCTTAAAGAAGCAGCTATGACGAAGTAGTATGTCCCAAAGCTTGCCTACTATTCTTCTACATACTCAAAAGTATGTACTTTTTCTTCACAAAAAGAGCACATACTTTTAGGGCATAGTATAAGTAGGCGAATTGGGACGCAGCAAGAATGAACGTGCAACGGGAGTCAAGCCTGTATTCCTTACCATTAACCATAGCAACAGTGACCAAAGTAAAATAAAAGATGGCGACGTCCATAAAACTGAAAGTCGTATCACTTTCGGACACAAAAAGAGTCCAATCGAGTTCTTTTGTCAAATCTTCATTAACCAACAGCAGCTTTTAAATTTTGGTGGAGAGCGGACCATTTGATTCTCGCACAGAACACAAAACTGACGGGAGCTCCGGTGGAAAACTGACGGGATCTAAACATTTCAGATGACACGCAGCTCATTTCTCCGTCACTGTAAGTTACCGAAAACACACATGAAAACACGTAACACACGGTAGAGCAGCACTGTATGACGTGACACAACTAGTTGTCCAGTCCGGTTCCGTTCACACAGCGCGTGTGTTCCGAGAATGCGGTTGTGAGTCCTGAAAATTCTCACACCCGTAAATACCCGAACTGTGTGTGAACGTAACCGTATTAAGGACTCAAATACAGGACTGACAACCGTATTCTGCTGCTGTGTGAACGTGGCCTATGTTAATCATAATAATTGCATTTTAACAACAACACCACCAAAATATAATAATAATTCTTCTTATTATTAAAGTGCTCCTATTATGGATTTTTGAAAACTACCTTTCATGCAGTGTGTAATGCAGCTGTATGTGAATGTAAACCGTCTGCAAAGTTGTAAAGCAGAAAGTGCATCATAAATAAAGTTATTGTCTCTCAAAAGAAAGAGTTGACTCTGAATCGCTTAAACGAGTCGTTCCAATCTCTGCGAGTTCAACGAGGGATTCCTAAACCGGTTGTCTTTGAAAGATGGGTCAGTGCCCAGTTTGTTTGGACCAGTTTGCTCCTCGAATCACAGCCTGTAAGTATGATTAATAATTGTTGCTTTGATGTTCTGTCGAGCGTGCAAAATGTTGTGTTGTGTATAGAGTCGTTGCAGCTGTAAGTCTCTGGCTAACTCACATTATAGCTCTGCTAATCAGCTGTTGGCCTGCTATTGTCTAGAAATGTGTCAGTTAATACAGAATATCTGTCACATTACTTGGACTCATAATAAAGGAAAGCAATACGTTGGTTTACAAACTGCAGTGCTTTATCAGTACTCTTTGTCTGTGTTCGACTAACGCATATACCATTATTGTTTGGGCCTTTACTACCAAGCTGTGGGTCCGGTTCGCTAACATAAGTGTAAAACAACTTTTTCCCCTCTGATTCTTTCTTTTTAGAACAGAGTGGAGCACTATTATTAATACAATAGGATGTATTATTGTATTGTATTATTGATAAGCTGACATGCGCTGTACGCAGTAGACCAATCACAACAGACTGGGCCATCGGACCAATCAGAGCAGAGTAGCTTCATGCAAAGGAGGGGTTTGGAAAGATTAGTTTTTGAATAAATTGTTTGCGAGTCGTTGAGAAATAACATAAAATTAAATGCATATTATAAGAAAATGAAAGTGTTTTTTGACCTTGCATGCACGTAAACCTGTTGTTGGGGACTCCCAAAACTAAATTATGAACATTTCAAATACCATAATAGGGCCGCTTTAACATTATTATTATATTTATAATAAATAATAATTTTATATTAATCCACCTATCAACCACCCAGATCGCCTTAGCAACACCCTGGCAACCACCCACAACACATTAGCATCATGGCAGCAAAGAATGCGTTTCTCAAACAAACGCAAATTGTTCATATTGTTACATGCAATCAATTCAGAACCCAGAAAGTTTGAGGGTTAAACTGATAAAAACAGATGAATTGATGAGAAATGTAACCATTTAAGCAATCATACGAAACCATGTGACCTTTAAAGCAGCTGTGTGGACACTGGCTCACTGTTTGACCTTTAAAATAATTGATTTTAGGATTTGTCAGCCTACTGGAAACGTATGTTAATGATATCATGATCGCTGGTGGGGCTTTTTTCAAGAGAAAATCATGTTAAAAGAAAAAGCTAATGAGACTAGGCAAAAATGGGAATTCAGCCAGGTCACGACTGGGATTTAACAACTAAATCCAATTAAACACACACACACACACACACAAACCAACATGCTTTTGACCTCAACAAGCGAGCAGCTTTAAAGCAATATTTGACCAAAAAAATGAAAAGTCTGCTGTTATTTACGCACCCTTGTGTTGTTATAAACCCACACACTTATTTATTTCCATGCAACAAAAAGTGAGATGTTTTCAAGGAATCACAGCCTGTAAGTATGATTAATAATTGTTGCTTTGATGTTCTGTCGAGCGTGCAAAATGTTGTGTTGTGTATAGAGTCGTTGCAGCTGTAAGTCTCTGGCTAACTCACATTATAGCTCTGCTAATCAGCTGTTGGCCTGCTATTGTCTAGAAATGTGTCAGTTAATACAGAATATCTGTCACATTACTTGGACTCATAATAAAGGAAAGCAATACGTTGGTTTACAAACTGCAGTGCTTTATCAGTACTCTTTGTCTGTGTTCGACTAACGCATATACCATTATTGTTTGGGCCTTTACTACCAAGCTGTGGGTCCGGTTCGCTAACATAAGTGTAAAACAACTTTTTCCCCTCTGATTCTTTCTTTTTAGAACAGAGTGGAGCACTATTATTAATACAATAGGATGTATTATTGTATTGTATTATTGATAAGCTGACATGCGCTGTACGCAGTAGACCAATCACAACAGACTGGGCCATCGGACCAATCAGAGCAGAGTAGCTTCATGCAAAGGAGGGGTTTGGAAAGATTAGTTTTTGAATAAATTGTTTGCGAGTCGTTGAGAAATAACATAAAATTAAATGCATATTATAAGAAAATGAAAGTGTTTTTTGACCTTGCATGCACGTAAACCTGTTGTTGGGGACTCCCAAAACTAAATTATGAACATTTCAAATACCATAATAGGGCCGCTTTAACATTATTATTATATTTATAATAAATAATAATTTTATATTAATCCACCTATCAACCACCCAGATCGCCTTAGCAACACCCTGGCAACCACCCACAACACATTAGCATCATGGCAGCAAAGAATGCGTTTCTCAAACAAACGCAAATTGTTCATATTGTTACATGCAATCAATTCAGAACCCAGAAAGTTTGAGGGTTAAACTGATAAAAACAGATGAATTGATGAGAAATGTAACCATTTAAGCAATCATACGAAACCATGTGACCTTTAAAGCAGCTGTGTGGACACTGGCTCACTGTTTGACCTTTAAAATAATTGATTTTAGGATTTGTCAGCCTACTGGAAACGTATGTTAATGATATCATGATCGCTGGTGGGGCTTTTTTCAAGAGAAAATCATGTTAAAAGAAAAAGCTAATGAGACTAGGCAAAAATGGGAATTCAGCCAGGTCACGACTGGGATTTAACAACTAAATCCAATTAAACACACACACACACACACACACACACACACACACAAACCAACATGCTTTTGACCTCAACAAGCGAGCAGCTTTAAAGCAATATTTGACCAAAAAAATGAAAAGTCTGCTGTTATTTACGCACCCTTGTGTTGTTATAAACCCACACACTTATTTATTTCCATGCAACAAAAAGTGAGATGTTTTCAAGAAGCATTTCATTCTTTGGATTTTATATGGTACTTTTTATTGTCGCTTTATTGTTCTTCATTGTTTCACAAAAACACAACATGAGGGTGAATAAATAATGAGACTTTTCCTATCTGGGTCAAATGCTCGTCTAACATGTAACCAAATGGTCTCACATGACTTTATTGTGAGTTACAGCATCTCTGGCGTCAGTTGAGCCGGTTAAACTGGCTCAGAGAGAGCA